TGAAATAATCACACAGAAACTATATTATTTAAATCACTGCTTGGCCTATTAGCTCTAGCTTCTTATTGGCTGTTACATATTAATTTAACACATTACTATTAATCTGTGTATCGCCATACCGGCTAAAGTTCCAGTGTCTGTCTCAGATGAGGCTACATGGCTTCTCTCTCCTGACTCCACCTTCTTCCTCCTGGCATTCAGTTCATTTTACCCGCTTACCTGTGTTCCCTGCACAGACCCAAAGCAGTTTATTTATTAACCAATGGTATTCACAGCATACAGAGGAGAATCCCACATCATACTTTCTAGCCTATTCATTTTCTACACTTATTATTTTTTCAGAGACTGAGAAACTTCACTCCATCATCTTTAATACACTTACTTCTTCATCCAGTATTCCCAATTCTGTAGTCATCCCTGGCTCTCTCCTGTCTCCTCTTGTGCCTCCTCATCAGACCTACCTTCTTAACTACTGGGCCCACTGGCCTTCTCTGGTTGCTCCCAAGTTTTTTTGCTTGTTTGATTGTTTTTTAGTCATCCTCTTGTCATTGTCTACCTTGTTGACTTCTCCATGATGAGAAGTTAAGAGGACCGAGAAGGAAAACTAAGGTGGAAAAGAGGGGAAGTACCAACTATTTTAGGGGCTAGAACTGTGAGCAGACTTCAGCACACGATACTGTGTATGAACGCATGATGCTTAGATCATTAGTTCGGACACAGATTTTGGAGGTTAAAAAGGAAGACTGAATTTAATTATTTTTGATGAGGAGAGATATCCAAGTCCTTGGTGGAAAGATAGGAACACAGCATAGATTTTAGCAAGATACCTCAGGAGACAATGAACATGATAGATTAAAAAATGATCATTTAGGACTGGAGAAATGGCTTAGCTGGTTAAGGCCCTTACTACCAGGCCTGAAGACCTAAGTTCAATACCAGGGCTCACATGTCAGAAGAAGAAAACCCACTCCTACGGGTGACCCTTTAACCTTCACATGTGGGTGGTCGCATGTACATATGTGTATAAATAAATAAGTGAATAAATGAAAACGTAAAATTATTAAAATTGAAAGGTTTAGACATTTATGGCGCTGTTAGGAAAACTCGCCATGGTTATCTAAATTTAAAGGCACACATTTGAAATGTCATGACTTTTCGTTTTGTCTTAAAATTGTCTCATATATCATGTGAGAACTTTTAAGCTTCTAAAATACATTTTTCTCAGAAAAACAGTTCATCATCAATAGTTGTCATCTTTGAAGTATAAAGAATAGTTTCCTGAAATTCTGTCATTGCTGAAAGTTGCTTTTCTCCTACATTTTGTAAAGCCTTTAATGTTTAATTTTTATTGTCTAGCTTGTTCATTTAAATAGTACAGTATAATATCATAGTTAATCTTACAGAGTCATGATACTTTATAGGTGCTTTTTATTAATTATTTTCAGAGTTGGTTATAGATTTCATAGGGGCAGAGCCTTAAATACTGAATATTGATGATTATTTCATTGATTCCCATAAATTGGTCTTAAGGAGAATATTCTATACTGGCTGGTTTTGAATGAGCAATTGTTGTAGTTCAGTCCCCAGTGTTGGAATTACAGGTGTAATCTACCACACTCACTGGTCTTTCTGGCTCAAGTGCTTGTCAGGGGCTGTTTAAAACAATGCCCTGTTCAGTCACTTATAGGTTTTCCTGTCACTGTTCCTGCTCCTTGGATGACAGCATAAGTCCCCAGAGCCAGAAACAAGTGACTCCATCAAGACAGCATCCTGAGCCCCATTTCCATTTATATTGGGGATTCTATCTCATCCCCAGTTCCTACAAGTGACATCCCAAGTTCCCAGGGGTGACATGGAAGACCCAGATAGGTATCCACATGTGGGAAATTAAACTCAAGGAGAGGTTTCCGGAGATTGTGAGCCACTGTTGCAAAATGAGTGGTGGGCTGCTTCCCATTGCCTGGCTCCTAGCTAGCTTTACCCAAAATAATTACATGGAAACTGTATTAATTTAAACACTGGCCCATTATATCTAGCCTCTTATTGGCTAACTCTCACATCTTAATTAACCCATTTCTAATAATCGGTATATCACCACGTGACTGTGGCTTACCGGGATGAGTCTAACCTACACCCATCTCGGAGAGGAGAGCCATAGCATCTGCCTGACTCTGTTTTCTTTCTCCCAGCATTCTGTTAGGTCTACTCCATCTGTCTAAGTTGCTATCCTATCAAAAGGCCAAAGCAGTTTCTTTATTTGAGCAATGAAAGTAACACATAGACAGAAGGCCTTCCTACTTTAAGCCACTATTTTTGTAAAGATTAATTTATTAATTTTTGTGTACGTGTGTGTAGAAGTGTTTGGCCTTCATGTGCATAAGTGTGTGTGCCTGATTCTTAGAGAGATCAGCAGATAGAGCCAATACTCCTGGAGCTGAAGTTACTAATGGTTTTTTAGTAGCCATATGGGTGCTTGGAACTAACCCAGGGTCCTCAGCAAGGCCATAAGCATTTTTATCTATCAAGCATCTCTCCGGTATGGTCACTGTTTTATATAAGTAACAAGATTGCTTCCTGCTAGGGGGACGATGCTACCTCATTCTTCAAGGTTACTCTCTAAAAATATAACTTAGAAGGGACCTATAGAATGACTTCTTGGCATCTCCTAAGAGAATATGCAGGAATGAGGAGGGCTTGTAGAGATTTCTAGAACACTGTGTCAGTGAGAAAAACACACAAGCTCCTAAGCTGAACTAAACTAAATCTAAAACATAATTTCTTCTGGCCAAAAAAAAATCAGTAATTTTAATTAAAATCAGATGCTTCATTTCTGTCTAGCTACTGCTTAAGATAAGGTTTGTCATCATAATATTGATGTGCATGGAAGCACAATTGAGAACTTAGTGGGATTAATTGAAAATCATTGTTATGAGTATTAAATTTTAAATTTCAAATGAGCTTTTGATAGTTGAATACTGCTGTGCTTTCATTGTTTTCTTCAAATATGATGAACAAAATGTGATGTTTGAAAACCTGACAGTCAGCCACACATGGTGGTGCACACTTTTAATCCTAGTGCTTGGGGGCATAGACAAGTGGATCTCTTTGAAACAGAGGCCACCCCGATCTACATAGTAAGTTCCGGGACAACCAAAGCTACATAATAGAAAGACCATTTCTCAAAGAAAGAAAGAGAGGAAGAAAACAACAGAGAGAAAATGTGGTGATGGTAGCAGTATAATAACTCCCCTCAGCACCATTGCCAACACTATTCCTCTAGGGCTCACTGTGCACCAAGCACCACACCAAAGTGATTCTAAAATTAATACACTCAGTCTATCAATGACCCTATGGACCCTGCACTCTTGTTATCCATAAGAAGAAACTCGGGGCATGCTGGAAAGATGCTGGCTCAGTGGCTAAGAGAACTGGCTGTTCTTCCAGAGGACTGGGTTTGGTTACCAGTATCCACGCAAAGGCATACAACTGTAACTCCAGATCAGATCCCTCTTCCAACCTCTTCTAGAACTAAGCACGAACATGGTACACAGACATACAGAAGGCAAAACACCCATATGCATAACATTAAAAGAAAAATAGAAGAGTAAATTAAGGCAAGGAAAAGTTAGCTAATTTCCCTGAAGTCACGGAGTTACAGGTCAGTCAGGATGCTTCCACTGTGGCAGGCAGAAACTGCCTACAGGAGCTACCTATAATGTGACAATACAGGAAGAGCAGAGGTGTGGCAGGTTTCAGAACTAGATAGCTCTTCAGCGAGACATCTACAGCTCTGCCCCTGCGCAAGAAGAAAGGGAAGGCCACTGTGCCCCTAGCCCCATCTGCCCCCACTTCTCAGCAGAGGAGTAAGAGGACTGTCTACTCCTTGCATCAGAGCCTCTGTTTCTATGGGATTTTCTTGACTCGCTTGCTTGCATCCATCCTTTCTTCCTTCTTTCCCCTCTCCTCCCCGTCCCTCCCTCCGCCTCAGCGGACAGTTTAGAAACAAAAAGTTGTGATAAGTTTGATCAAATTGATGTGTGCATGCAAAACGAGAGTTTTCTTTCCAACTTTTTAAGACGCTTGTCATTATGGAGCCGAGGAGGAAATGTACAAAGGCTGGCTCCTGGCCGCTGCAGATGCTTTGGGAGTAGAGTTTGCCAATCAGGAACACAATTGGTGATCATCTAAAGCAGGGCTCAAGCCTTCTGGCTTTAGAGCCTGTTGGAGTTTCTTCAAAGTGTTGACGACTTCAAAAGGCTTTGGTTTATGTTCACTGTATCTATAAATAGTTGTCATAGTCAAAATTAAAAAGTAGAAATTAAATGTATATTTATGATAACTCCTTTAGTATAGTGATAAAAGTCACGTGTTAATATAAATAACAAACTTTAATGACAGTGTAACCATATTTTTCAGAACTCAAGTTTTAAGGTGAAAGTGTCACAGTTTTTGCCAATCTTTTCTCTGACTGTCTTAGAGGCAGGCGGCTGATTCATCTTAGCTGCTTCTGCATTCTAGCGACCACACAGCCTGGAGCCACAGCACACTCCTGCGAACTTTTGTGAGAGAGTTATAGGGAGAAGGAAAAACTCCTAATACTACTATGGAAAACTAAGTTTCCTCTTGTGATTTCTCCCAGAGACTGCTCTGGAACTGCAGGTGTTCTCAGATCACACCAGGATAATCTCCATCTTGACATACTTCTGTTAGATATGACTATGCATAAATAAATCATCTCTAGCAATAGCACAGGATAAGATATTAAGATAATAGACTTAAGTACATCATATCTCAGAAAAGTAGAGAAGGCACACAGAGATGAGGGTGTCACAGTGTAGGGGGTCTGATAACCAGGCCAAGGTCAACTCATCCATGACCAGATATTCCAGAAGTTTCTTTGTTGAATAATCTCTTGCAGTGTTGCAAATATAATCAAATTTACTGCCAAATGTGTGCTTACCTTTTTCTAAGGAAATTTGGTATCTCTATTCTCTTTCTAGACTTACTATTTCAGATAATTTGAAGATTGGTTTTTTCACTTCAGACCATGCTACTCAGACAGATTGCAGTGAAATTTTGCCATTGAAAGATTTGACTCAGTCAACAGAAAAGTTAATGCAGGTAAATCTGGGTGTAACTTCTAGGATAACTTTGTGTGTTATTTGTCTTTAGGGGCTAATTGTTTTGTTTGAGGAGGGAGTTGTGTACTAGAAATCAAACCAATGCTTTATGAATGTAATAAAAAGCACTTGTCATTAAACAGCACCCCTACACATGTGGTTTTATGCTGTGGGATTCCCCTCTGTATGGTGTGAATATATTTTATTACCATTGGTTGATAAAGAAGCTGTTTTGGCCAATGGCTTATCAGAGTAAAGTCAGGCAGGAAATCTGAACAGAGATATAGAGAGACAATAGGTAGAGTCAGAGAGACACTGTGTAGCTGCTAAAGGAGACAGATGTGAAAACTTTACCAGTAGGCCACAGCCTCATGGTGATACACAGATTAATAGAAATTGGTTAATTTAAGATGTAAGAGCTAGCTAGAAATACACCCAAGACATTGGCCAAACAGTGTCATAATTAATATAGTTTCTGTGTGATTATTCTGGGTGGCCGGGAAAAGAACAAGCAGTCTCCACTTACAGTTTTATACATCTTTTAGTGACAAAACCAAATTGATTGAGATGGTCTCAAAACATTAAGGTCTTTGAGGAACTTAGCAGAATGACACTTTTTAAGCTTTAAAGATTTATTCTTAATTTTGTGTATATGTGTGTTTTGCCTGCATGTGTGCCTGTGCACTGCCTATGTGCCTGGTGCTGTCAAAGGTCAGAAGAAGGAATCAGATCCCCTGGAACTGCAGTCACAGTTATGAGCTAGCAAGTGGGTGCTGAGAACTGAAGCCAGTCCCCTGCAAGAACAGTCAATGTTCAAGCCCCAGCTGTACGTTACAACTGATCTAAGTTATGGTCCATACTTGTCATGTTTCTATCTTACATATGTGAGTCTGTTCAGTGAAATTTCTCTGCTTTTGACATCTGTGAATATTCTCTGCTTATGATACATTAAGAAAAGTAGAAAGTATTTTACCTTTAGATAAATGAAGACAATAAGATACTGAATGACTTTTCAGTGGTCTAGCTTTGTCAAATCTTATCATTTCCCTTGGATTTTTTGAAATTGAATGAGAATAGAGTATTTCATAAATATAAGATATTGAGTTATTAAGACTACCACATGAATTGAAATACTGCGATAAATTGCCTCAGGTGCCTTATTTTTATTTTTCATCTATTTGGAAATCATTCCATATCTATACATAAAGATCTTCCATGTAGTTGAATACAGTAGCACATACCTGGAATCCCAGCTAATCAGGAAGCTGAGACAGGAGGGACCTGCCCAGGCAACTTCATGAAACACTGTGTCAAAAATTAAATTCAAAAGAAAAAAAAGGAAGAAAAACAAAAATCAAAACAACAACTGAGGAGAAAGCTTAGTGAGACAGAGTACTGATCCAATTTGTGAAATGTCCTGGGTTCAATATCCAGTGTCTCGTTTATTTCACAACTAAGTCACAAGACGCACATCACATTGCATCTGTATTGACTGACATTTTGGTAGTGTCTAATCTTTACCTATGATGAATAATCCTGCATGAATTCAAGCACCAGTAAATCTGTGGCGTAAATTCTTAAAAGGGAGTTTGTGAGTCAGAGGGTACACACATGAGTCACTTTAAAGGCCATTGCCAAGTTGCCCTGCTGAAAGACTGCAGTAGTTTGCACTATTAAGAGCTTTTGAAGGTGTCGCCTTGACACATGCTTGACAATTTGTTGTCTTTGTTTAGAATGACATATTTTGGGGCACTATTTTTATAAGTTTCTTCCTCAGTAGCTTTGTGTGCCCAAACTAATTTTTAGTCAGGAGGATTTAGATGGCAGTGGTGAGGGGTAGCTTTGGGAATCTTCTCTAGGACACGGTTCACAAGCACTGACTTGCCTGCTCTTGCCTCCTCTTCTGGCTCCTCCTTCCCACATAGCCCTTTCTTCTGCCCCAGGAGTTTATCTAATTCTAATCACATCCCTGCATTCCCACCTGTAAACACCATAGTCACGCTAAGGTTTCATTCTCTTAATGTTTCATGACGGAGATTAAATTTCAACATAAGTTTTGGAAGGAACAGGCCATACTCAAACCATACCACTCCACTAGCATATATTAATTTTGAAATTAAACAGCATTTTGAAAACCTACATGCCATGAGAGAGAATTGTTGTACTGCTCCAATAAGCCATACCTGAGAGATGATCTTCAAAGGTAAGTCAGGCACCTTGGTCTAACGTTCCAAATTAAGGAGTGTGTTGGGATATTGGCACACAGGGCCTGACTCTCTACACTGACAAAAGATTTTTATTTTGTAGATGATCACATCACTTCAGGTGGATTTTGGGTTCCTCAAAGATTTGGTTCAACTGAAGTTTGAGGACCGACTTAAAGAGGAGTCTTGGAAAATTATCAATGTGCTTCAAGACAGGATTTTAGAAATGAAAAAATATTACCAGCAGGTAGGTGCACCCTCATTTTCTCTGCTGTGTGAGTGGATCCTGTGTGATGTGCGCAGGCTGTGGAGGCGGCCACTTATCAGAGCAGCTGCGCTGTCTGAGATGTGTCTCCAGGAGCTACACTGTCAGGAACTCGGGTGAACTCTTCGTGTGTGACCGCAGGAGTCCTCACACTTTCCTTGTACAGTGGTATGATTGTTATGATAGAGAAACAGGTTAATTTGCTCACAATTGCCAATCTGGCAACAGAACTTTAGATTCTCTGCCAGATACTTGCTTTTGAATGCTTTTTAACATATAGTACTTTTGTTTATTCTTCGTTAATTTCATGCATATGTGCAATGTGTTTTAGTGATGTCTGTCCCCAACCCCTCTCTCCAACTCCCCCAGACTTTCCCCTAACACATGCCCACCCTACTTTCATGTCTTTTTTTCTTTTTATTAAATAAAATCCACTAGTGCAGTCTGTATGAATATGTGCAGTCTATTATGGTCATAGAGCCAAAAACAATGGTTTCCTTGCCCCAGCATCCACCAGTTATCAATAGCTCCTCGGCCAGGGGTGAAACCTCATGAACCCCTCCCCTTCTACATGGGAATTACTGACTGACTTGAAATAATATGGTCTTGTTTAGGTAACCATAGCTACCACAAATCCATGACTATGGTGGTCATGTTGCATGCAGAAGACCCCAGCATCCCTCCACATTCTCTGGTGCTTACGCTTTTTCAGCTCCCTCTTCTGCATTTCCCATGAGCTTTGGTGAGGGGAGGGGGTTGTAGATGTCTTATTTAGGGCTGAACATTTACTTATTCTCCTCACATCTACCGCTTGTGGGCCTCTGCCTTGACTTACTCCAGTGAAAGAAGAAAGCTCTGACCAAGGTTGAAAACATCACTAATTTTGGATATAAAAATAAATATTTAGAAAGCCTTATTTGTTAGGCCACTGGGGCTTTGTTAGAAGGCAGTTTGACAACATGTCTGTTTAACAAAACAGTAGTTGTAGTAGGAGGGTAGGTTACCCACTTCTAGGGCTATATGACCTCAGAAATTATTTCACTATTTTGTGTGTGTGGGTGTTTTCCTGTGGGTATGTCTGCTCCCTGCACGTGACATCTGGTGCCTATACAGAAGAGGATATTGAATCCACTGAAATTGGAGTTATAGAGATTTTGTGAGCATCTTTGTGGGTTTGGGGAATCAAACATTAGTCCTCTGGAAGAACAGCCAGTACCCTTAGCCACTGTGCTATCTCTTCAGGCACAAGTCAGGGCTTTTGCTCAAGATTATGGTACCTGGAATAGATTTTTTCCTGTGGAACAGGCTTCAGATTCAATCAGAAAACAACTGATGATCCCCAGAGCAGTTCTGCTGTGATGACAGCTTGGTCACATCTTGCCTGGCATGTCAGTGTTAGACCTGCAAGGTCAGCTGCTTGGCATGTCCACTGATGACTTTGTGCCCCCAGTGGGCTGCATAGTGTCTTTGGCATTATGAAAGCTAAACAGCAGGGAGGAAGTTCCCAACTCTGTTTCAGCTTTATCTTTCTACACATGAAGCCAAAGTGTTTCGTGTTTCCAGGAGTGAGGTACTAACATCTAGTTGAAAGGGTAAGTCAGAGCAATGGCGGTAGCCTGTGTTGTCCTGGAGGTCTCTGGAGCCTGACTGGCCAGTAGATCAGAGGACAGTGTCCCATTGCTGGCATTGGGATTGTCACTTAATAATTGTCCACTGAGGGGCTGGAGAGATGGCTCAGCGGTTAAGAGCATTGCCTGCTCTTCCAAAGGTCCTGAGTTCAATTCCCAGCAACCACATGGTGGCTCACAACCATCTGCAATGAGGTCTGGTGCCCTCTTCTGTCCTTCAGGCATACACACAGACAGAATATTGTATACATAATAAATAAATATTAAAAAAAATAATTGTCCACTGATACAGGGTACCTTCATCCAAATTTCTTCTTTAAGCATGCACATACACACACACATACACACGAGGGGGGGGAATGGGTTCTTCACTTCTTCACACATTCTTTTGTTTGGTTAAGCCACTTCCCAACATTCCTGCCTGATTCCCCATGCCTCTGCTCAAGCCTTTAACCCACAGAATCCCCTACTCAACTTTATGGGGTTTTATTTTGAGATTACAATATAATCACAACATTTCCCCCATCTTTTTCACCCTTCAAACCCTTACATACACCCCTTTCTACTCTACTTCAAATTCATGGCCATAGGTAGATAGATAGATAGATAGATAGATATAGAGATATATATGTATATATGTGTGTGTATGTATATATGTATGTATTTCAGGGCTGGCCATTTGACACCAGACAGCCAATTGGTGTGCTTTTGCCTGGGGAGGGCCACCTCTCCCACTCTCAGCTTTCCTGGGTTGCCTATGGTCTTGGGTAGGGTTGCGGCCTCATAGTCTTTTCTCACATCCAGTTTTGTCCATTGGTCTCAACCTCATCCAGCTCACTTTTAGACCATCATGTTGGTGAACTGGCACTGCATTTCTGTCACATGTGCTCTGCATTCTCTCCCCAACTGAAGTCCTCTTCCCCTCTTCCTACCATGTGCCCTCTCTAGCTTCCTAGCCACTGCAGACACTACAACTTGAAAACACAAATAAAAACATTCAAAGATAAGCCAAGATCCACATATGAGATTTTTAATGTTATTTATCTTCCAGGGCCTAAGTGACTTCACTTACTGTATTTTTCAGTTTCATCCACTTTCCTGTAAATTTCATTTTTGCAGCTAACTAAAATTCCATTCTGTAGATGTAGCATATTTTCAGTATCATTCATCAGTTGATAGATATTTAGGGTCATTCCATTTCCTAGCTGTTTTTTATAGAGCAGCAATGAACACAGATGAATGAGGATGTGCCCACGAGTGGTTCAGTTCGATTATGTGACAGTTGTAATTTCAGCTTTGTGAGAAACCTTCACCCTGCCTTACAAAGAAGCTGTACCAATTTACACTTTCACCATCAGTATGGAAGTGTTCTTGTCCCTTACCCTCAACAGCTTTTTTTATCTTTTGCTTACTTGGTGATAGCCATTCTGACTAGAGTGAGGTGGGATCACAAAATAGTTTTAATTTGCATTGCCCTTAATGGCTAACAATGTTGAAGATTTTTAAATGTCTATTATCTATTTGTGGTTTTTGCTATTTTGAGAGCTTTCTGTTCTGTTCCATAGCCCATAGTCCAGTTTTTAAAATTGGGTTGCTACCGTGATGTCTAGTTTCCTGAAAGTTTTTTATTTGTTTTGTTTTGTAAATTCTAGATCCTAAAGTCTGCTGGATGTACAGCCAGCAAAGAATTTCTTCTGCTCTGAAGACTGCCTCTTCACTCAATTAATTTACAGTTTTCTTTGCTCTTTAGAAACTTGCAGTTTTATGTGGTCGCATTTGTCAATTATCGGTCATATTTCTTCAGAGAATGAAGTTCCTTCTGCTCAGAAAAACCTTACCCATGCCCATGTCTTGGTGTGCACACTGTTTCCTCTAGCAGTTTCAGACTGACAGGTCTTTTGCTTGATTCATTTGAAGTTGATTTTTGTACAGGGTGAGAGACAATAAAGGGGTCTAGTTTCATTCTTCCATGTGCCAGTATCCGGTGTTCCCAGAATCTTTTGTTGAAGATGTTGTCCTTTGACACAATGTATATTTTTAGTGAGTGCCTTCAAAAAAAGTTAGTCAGCTGTAGTTGTTAAATCTCAGTTTTCTAACCTATTCTATTGATGCACAAATCTGTTTTTGTCCAGTACCGTGCTGTTTGCCTTACTGTGCCTCTGTAAAATGAATTGACACCAGTCATGGTGATACCTCCAGTTGTATTCCTTTTGCTGAGGATTGCTTTGACTACCCGGAACTTTTGTGCTTCCATATGAATGCTAAGATAGTTTCTTTCTATAACTGAAAGGAACAATGATAGAACTTTGGTTGGGATTGCAGTGACTGAGTTTGTTTTCATTTGGACAGCCATTTTTGTTGTATTGATTCTTCCAACCCATGAGCACAAGAGTAGTTCTGTCTTCTACTGTCTTCCTGAGTTTTCTTCTCCCGTGCTTTAAGTTTTCATTGTAGAAGTCTTTCAATACCTAGGCTAGCTTTTTTCCAAGTTTCGGCTTTTCTTCCTTCCTTCCTTCCTTTCTTTTCTTTTTCATTGTTATTTGTTTGTTTTGAGACTACTGTGACTGAAATTACTTATCTTATTTCTTCTCAATATTTTTGTCATTGGAATATAGAAAGCTATTCATTTATGTATGATGATTCTAGGAGTTTTCTGCTGAAATCTTTACTATTTCTTAGATATAGAATTATATCATTGGCAAATAAGGATATTTCAACTTATTTTCTACTTTTATCCCTTTTAAAAATTTATTATTATTATTATTATGATTTATATGTCTGTGTGAATGTTTGTACACACATGGAGGTGGGTACCTACAGAATGCAGAAGATGGTGTCATATTCCTTAGAGCTGGAGTTACAGGGGTTTGCAAACCAACTAATATGGGTGCTGTGATCTGAACTCTGGTCCTCATAATTGAGCAACAAGAGCTCTTAACCACTAAGTCATCTCTCTAGTTCTTATATCACTTTTATTTGCTTCTCTTGTCTTATTACTGTAGATAGACTTCCAGTACTGATTAAATAAAATGGAGAAAGTAGAAACCCTGGTCTTGTTCTTGACTTTACTGAAAACTCTTTGAGGTTTTTTAACGTTTAAAGTATTTAGATTATATTAAGTAGATTTGTTGGTGTACAAAAAGAGTTCCACAATAGCCTGGAAAAGAGTATAACAAAGGTTTATTTATTTGGGAATAAACTCATAGTAAGGGTAGCAATCCACAGTCTTCTATGTGTGCTGGAACCGAATCCAGGAGCCAAGAGAGGTGTACATGCTTTTCTTCTGTACTTATAGTATATGAGACCACGCCCAAAGTGGGCTGGTATCTAAAAGGCTATTGGCTGAAGGAGTTC